TCATGTTTGCATTCATGTGAGAAATGTGCATAGGTCATCTTTTCTGTTCTGAAAAATGTCACATAGAGAGTGAGTTTGTTTTGTTCCCTCAAGGAAATTGTAATAATCCTCAAATCTTTATTTTTATCACAAATCTTTTTTTAACCACTGATGATGCTCATGGCTGGCATTTCTTTGTGTTAGAACTCAAGAGAGGCATAAGTATTTTAGGATTACCACTCCCTAGCCAGGTGCTGGTGGTTCACACCTATAATCCTAGCTACTCAGAAGGCTAAAATCTGAGGATCACGGTTCAAAGCCAGCCTGGGTAAGAAAGTTCATGAGACTCTTATCTCCAATTTAACATCAAAAAAGATAGAAGTAGAGCTGTGACTCAAGTGGTAAAGCATTGCCCTAAGTTCAAGTCTTAGGACTGTTGCACGCACGCACGCACACACACACACACACACACACACACACACACACACACACACACACACACACAATGATTCTGAACAAATCCCTCCAGCTGGTAAGTGTTCTTTTTCTGAGTCAGTGGGAAGATCACTGGATTCTTGCCTATTAAAACACCGGCTAGTGGCAATCCTCGAGGGCAGGGACCGTGCTCCTGAAATAGTTCTGAACAGCCCCCGGCGTGAAGCTACATGAATTGGGATGCTTAATAAGGCTTGTTAGAGCAGGGGACAGCAGAAGTTCCTATGCCAGTTGGGCATGCCAAGGAGCCACTCAGCTGCTCAAGGGTGACCACAGGTTACTGAGGACAGAGCTCCCCAACTGTGTGCCACAGCATACTTACAGATGTTCTGAGAGAGCTAGACACTTGGCTCTCCAGGAAGCCAGGTGGGCCCACCCTGGCCCAGCCTCTGCACCATGCCACAAGAGCACACTTTCTATGTGTGCATTTCTCTATTTTTAATTTTTTATTGTTATTATAAAGGTGATGTTCAGGGTGGGGGGGGGGGGGTTACAGTTACATGAGCCAGGTAAAGAGTCCATCTCTTTTTGTACTCTTGCCTTCTCCCAATTTTTTCCTCCCAATCCTACCCACAAGCTGTATGGTTCATTTTCAACCTAGTGTCCAGTGAGTACCATTGCTGCATTTGTGTGCATTTCCTCTCTTACTAATTGACCTCTTCCAGCTACTCTTGTAGACTGTCTAGATTTCTGGTTGGTTGATTGGCCATAGAGGGCCAGTCATGTTATTACCAAGGAACATTTATCCAAGGAACACTGGGAAAGATCAACCAAAAACCCTATAAGACTCAGTCTGTGAAAGCCTTTCACCTGTAGATCAATATTTATCAAGCATTTAACATTTATCATAAGATTTATTTTTTTAAGTTTCAGATCTTGGAATAGTCAATAGCTATTGACTAACAGTAGCCAATAGCATTGTTAATTACACCTTTCAGAAGCTGAAATTCATAGAATAACTATCTCTTATTAATTTATTCACAAAGCAGTTCTGCATGCATGCCTACTGTGTGCCAGATTTGTGGGAGGTGCTAGAGAGGCCATAAGTTTGCCATGAGAAATCCTGGCTATCGAAGAACTCACCACCAGACAAAGGGTGAACAAATGCAGCAGTGATATTCACTAGACACCATGTTGAAAATAAACTATACAGTGTGTGGGTGGGGGTGGGAGGGAAACACTGGGAGAGAACAAGAGAAAAGGTGACATTGTTCAAAAAGAAATGTACTCTTTACAGACTTAGGTAACCATAACCTCTCTGTACATCACCAATAACAATGAATTCATGAGAACAAAAAAAGAACTCAACTCACCACTAGGTAAATCAAGAACATGTAATTCACTCTCTGGTGGGTAAGAGTCAGTGCAGATGGGTGTAAAATACCGGATGTCTTCTAAAGATAAGGGGCCACTAACCCTGGAGCAAGAGACCTAGAGCCACCAAAGACAAATGTCTTCCCCATGGAGAGAGCTGAAGGGTGAGCTCTGTGAAGTTATTTCCCAGAGTATTTCACAAGCATGATTTCAATGCATTACATGAGAAAGAAGTAGCAGCTGTCTCTGTGGGATATCTACCACCCCTTTCAAGTTGAGTGTTCCAGGTCAGACCTTCAAGAGCTGCAGATTTCTTTCTGGGGTATTGCTTGCCTGCAATTGAGGAAACATGTCAATGACATGTATATGACTTGCAAAAGGCCAGGCAAAAATCAGTGATTTCTGGTTTCCAACCAGTGTTGTTTCCCCACCGTACCAACGGTCCATCCCGTGTCTAGAACAGTTGCTTAGACATGCTTGTGGTTTTCTTGGAATTGTCCTTGAGCCCTTATGAAAATATTGAAAAGTGATTGCAGAGGCCAGGGGTAAACTGCACCACTTTCATTGTAAGGGTTATCACAGCCTTTGCGATGCTGGTTATTTCATCGCCAGTCTTGTGTACTGTCTTGACTTCTCATTCTCAATTCTTGGCCAGCACAGCTTTACTTTAGCCTTCTTGAGTGCTCTGTACTTCCGCATTTCAATTTTGCCCATGCAGGGAAGCTGCCTTGCTGGGCACTGGTGGCTCACTCCTGTATTTTCCTAGCTACTTGGGAGGCTGAGATCTGAGGATCGGGGTTCAAAGCCAGCCCGAGCAGGGAAGCTCATGAGACTCTAATCTCCAATAAATTACTCAGAAAAAAAAAAAGCCAGAAGTGGTGCTGTGGCTCAAGAGCACTAACCTATAGCCCCAAAAGGCTCAGGGACAGAACTCGGGCCCAGAATTCTAGCCCCAAAGAAAGCTGCCTCTTGCTTAGTTTGATATGGTTTGGTTTAGTTTTAGTTTAATTTCAGTATTAGGATTTGAACAGGGCTTTGAACGAGTTAAGATACTCTACCATCTGAAACGTACCCTACCCTGCTTCTTGTTTTTATTTTTTGAGGCTGGGCCATCAACTAACTGTTGGAACATGGTAATTTGTGGTCCTGAGTCATATATCTGGGCTCTGAGAAGGCACAGAATCTGGGATGCTAATTGTGAAGCATCAGAGAGGGCAGCTGGACCACCAGTCTTCCACAGCTATCTAGAGATGGATAGCTCAGCCTCACCAGCAATCTCTCACCTATTTTACCCACAGACCTCCTTCAGCAAACCTAGCTCTCTCTCCCTCTGTTTCTATGACAAACTCATGGGAAAAAATCAAATATATATATTTTTTTTTGGGGGGGGGGGGGTCTGGTCGTGGGCCTGAACTCTGGGCCTGGGCGCTGTCCCTCAGCTCTTCAGCTCGAGGCTAGCGCTCTACCACTTGAGTCACAGCGCCACTTCTGGCTTTTTTTTTCTGCTTATGTGGTGCTGAGGAATCGAACCCAGGGCCTCATGCATGCAAGGCAAGCGCTCTACCACTGAGCCACCTTCCCAGCCCCCAAAAATATATTTTAACAATCAACTACTTTCCATGTTTATATGGCCATTCATTTCAAATAAGCAATGCCTTGGGTTACTAAACTGAAACTGTCTCTTCATGCATTGAAAAATAAGAGATTCATAAATGCCATTCTTAATAGCCTTTGCTATCCAGAATCAGGTCTTGGGCTAAAGAGAAAACCTTTTTTCTGACCTAAGCAGGCCTGTGTCGCGTGGTTCCGTGCAGCTTGAGAGAAGTGACTGGGAGCCAGTGATAGGGGTGAAGAGGCCGCTGCAGGTCCTGGCTCTGCTGTGACTCATGAACTATGTGTCTGGCTGAACTGAGCTCTCAGGGAAATAGACAATGATACTGAAAATGGACTATGATTCTCCACCCAGTTCTGAGTTTATGATAACAAGATTAAAATATAGATCTTCAAGGGGTATCAGGGGGAAGCTGGCACCTAACATGAGAAGCAATGGCTCAATAGAGGTATCTTTCAGGCCTAGAGGTGCCTGGGAACTGGCACTATTAACAAAATCCCTGCTTTGCCAGGTAGTATAAAGCTATCTCTTCCATAAATTCCCCATTGATCCTTCATAGACCCTCCATAGACCCTTGTCTTTTGGCTATAACAGTATCCATCTGATACAAGCACAAGAGAAAGAGCCAAATGAATTAACTTAGAAAGTATGTACATTTAATAGTGCAAATGTGTTCTGCTATTCCAGGTAGCCACTGGGCCTTCTGATTCTGTTGTTCAAAAAGAACTCCAGGTAGAGCATATTTAACCTTCATGCCTTAGGGATTACCAAACACTCCAATCAGCAGGCCGTGGGTGGGACTAGAAGCATGCACTTTCACAAGTGATTTAATGCCAGCTGTGATAGCCTTAGGAAATATTGTGCCTAGTGCTAAGAGTGGCCTCTGCCCTAGTGTGTGGCCATGGAAGACAATGTAATATAGAAGAGAACATACTCCAAACTCTTGCTTCTCCATAGCTTGGTACTTGTCAATCTTTAATACGCACCGACATCATTTGGAACCTTGTTGAAATACAAATCCCAATTCCATCACTCTGGGCTAAAGCCTGGGATTGCATTGCTAACAAGCTCCCAGCTGATCCTAATGCTGGTCCAGAGGTCGGGATTTGAGTAGCAAGACTCTCTATCAGTATTTCTCAGCCCTAGATGCATATTAGAGCCACAGGGATTAAAACCTTTAATCTCTTTAATAGGTATGGAATAGGGCTTGGGCAAAATTTTTCAAGCATCTGGGTAATCTAACATGTAGCCACAGGCTGGGTAGGAGGTATTGGCTGAAGGGTAGTAACTCAACAGCCAGCCCAGGGGCAGCCACCTGTTCCTGCTGGTACAAAGTGTCATTAAATATGTTTAAGGCCGGCTCATCCATCTCTTGACCCAGAGGTAACTCAAGTTCCTATGGGAGAGGACGTAGAAGCTGTCATGGGAGAATTGGAGCCACGGGCGTTTTATGTAAGGGCTGATCCAGTTACTACTCTAGCTTCCAGGCTGTCCACGCTCTCCTCTGCAGCTTCTGACTGTATTCTTCCTGGCTCTCTGCTTGGCTCTCAGGGGTGTGGACTAGGGAGGACACTGACCTGTCTTTTCTTGCCCTGGCTAGGCAGCGGTGGGGAGGAGCTGCCCACAGCAGGCCCCAAGGCTGAGGAGGGCTCCGAAGCGGTGCTCCCCAGGCGCAGGAGTGTGTTCCACATCGAGTGGTCATCTATTCGAAGGAGAAGCAAAGGTGTGCATGTCCTCCCTCTCTTCTCGGCCTCTGCTCTCCTGTTCTAATGAACAGGAACAATGAGAGTCCCTCCTTTGCAGGCTGGTGGGGGACCCATGGGGGGCACTGGGAGGAGGGGTTCCTCATACCGGAACACTGACCACACTGATCACTCATGTGATGGGGGTTGTGATTGGTGACAGGCAGTGGGCATTTTGGGGACTAAGCCAGAGCGTGACCACACACGGGAACTACCTGCATCTCACCCCACCTCCCCCCCCCAGGTTAATGCAATCCATCAAGAGATGCATTCTGGGCTAGCCTCTGAATCTTTTAGAGATCTTTATGAGGTTCTAGTCTGAAACCAACTCAAAAGTCACTGTGCATGCCAGAGTGTGTTAGTGGACACCTGTAATTATAGCACTCAGTTGGCTGGCACAGAAAAAAAAAATCACTGAGTTCTTATTATGTAGCAAGACCCTGCCAAAAAAATAAATAAATAAAATAAAATAAATGGAAACACTAGTAGAAGAGGCTAGAGATAAAAAGGTATCACCTAAGACACTGATATGGGTGTCCAAGACACGGGAACTGATCAAAGGGAATGATGGAGGGGGTTCTCAAAGGCCAGAAGCAAGGCCCAGAGGATAGCAAAAACTAAGCAGCTGACAAAGCCAGAAACTTGGACTTGGAAGATGAGGGCAGGTTTGGGCAAACAGGAAGAACCTGGTGCAGGGGGAAGTATCCCCGTGAAGACAGGAATGAGGACCAGTCCACTTCCACCCAACCTCAGAGAGGAGCAGGCCTGCCCAGAGGCACACCACTGCCCAGAGGCACACAGCCAGTAGATGTGACTTCCATCCCCTGCCCCCCAGACAGTGCTTTAATGACAGTCTTCCTCCAATTTCCTAATCTCATCACTTTATATGGCATCAGCCATACGAGAGTAATGGGCCTGGAGTGCTTATAGGAAAACCTACATGATGGACAGGGCATTGCAGATACTCAAGGGGTCTCTCAAGCCCTAGAGCTTATCTTTAATAGTGTGAAAGAGCATGGTTTGTCTCAAAAAGTCCTCTTACTATCTCTCATGATTCTAGGTGGGATAAGACATAGTACGTCTTGCACAGGACTTGGCTGCAGATGAGTGAAACCTGGCAGGCAGCGGGAACTCCAGAAATAAGTAGCTGGTTAGTCGGAAACACACACACACACACACACACACACACACACACACACACACACACACACACACACACTAGAGAGGAATCCTATCTTGCTTCCCACTCTTCCTTCCAAAGCTTTCAAAATTAATTTGTTGTTCCTACATATCCCAGTCACAATGTCCCAATCTCACTGACATTTGTAGTCTCAACTCCTTCCAAAAAGAAACATCCTTTCTAGTGCTTAGACACCATTCACAGGCTTGAATGGCCAATTCAGTCTTAAAATACAGTGGATAGGGGCTGCTATTCTCATACTTGACCACAGGAGGGAACCAGAGCACCAAGACTGAAACTTCCACGGACCTGATCTTTTTGCCAATACCTCCATCGCTGATGGAATTGGTCACACTTAGAAATGTCACCCATAATAGCTAAGAATAGAGTCACATTACCAGAGTTTTCTAGAATTACAAGGACACACCAAAACGTGTTTGAAGTGGCTCCATAGATACCATTTTTTCTGATCCAAACTTCAATTGCTATTAAAACACTAAAATCACACAAAGAAAAAGGAGGGGAAAGGAAACCAAAGCCCACACAGCCTGAGCTCATCTGACTAGTGAGAGGCATAGACAAGTTCAAACCTAGATCCTGCGTGGCTCAGGCAGGCTATGACTTTATGAGGAATAAGCAGAGGATTTCAACAATATCCCTGTTCCCTTCTCTGTACACTTACAAATTCTCCATGCAGCAAAGGAGAAAGAGCCCTGGATTCAGGGATCACGGACAAACCATTGTCCCCCTGGGATGCTGTTTCCTCATCTAAAAAAATAAGGGGGTTGAGCTAAGTCAGGGCTTTATAATTAAGGATCATTGAAGTCTCTGCACTCAACTGTATTCCTCAAGGAGAGGATGTAAATAAAATTCTGACCCGAAAAGGAAAAGAGGAGACTTTTCAGCTACAAAATTATAGGTTTTATATGTCCTTGTGAAACGGAAGTGCCTGTTAGTCTAATCTGAATCGTGCAGGAAATCCCTTCTAAGGTGTCCCAACTAACAATTCTCCTTCCCTTCAACTCCAGTGTTTGGGAAAGGTGAACACCAGGAAAGACAAGCCAAAGAGTCATTCTCCTATCTATACCGGAAGCCAGCGGTGGAGCTGCTTGTGAGTATCCAGTGGCCCAAGTCAGGGACTGAGCTTCCAACAGACTAACAGAGCTGAGAGCCAGCAAGGAGGTTCTGGTTGTAGGCAAAGTTTACTTGAACTTATTCTCAGAAATGTAATTATTTGGATTTTTTGTAATGTCTATTCTTTTTCAGTTTACATTGTGAACTTTCTAGTTCCTTTGAATTTTATATTATCAGGTTTCCTCCTAAATCAAACATTTAGGGAGTAAAACTCAGTCATTTTCAAAGACAGCATTTTTTATAGGGTCAATTCCTGACCTTGATGTTAATGAACAATTAAAATTTAAAGACTAGATATTATGGGGGGGGGGGGGTGATGGTTTCTTCTAGAATAGTGAAAGTAACATTTTAAATAAAATAGGTAATTGATACAATCTGGAAAAAAATCTAAATATCCATGGTGAAATCTCAACTCCACCATTTGACCTTGATCTTTGTAAAGAAGACCTTCTGCATGCCTGAGTCCTCACACACACAGGCATCATCTTCTTGTACATCATGGTGCTTTCCGGTATTGAATGAGGTGACAGACATGCCAAACAAAACAAACGATCCCAGTCTACAGAAACAGGGATAATTAAATTGTAGATTTAAACAAAAAATCCACAGTGCAACTTTAGCTTGGTTCTCAAGGGGCCACAAAGTCACTTCTCATGGCAAACCACTGAACATGGACAATTCTTGCTCATCTCTTGTCCCTGAACAGGATCTAGACACCATGGAGGAGAGTTCTGAGATCAAGGTAGAAGCCAACATGTCCAAGACTTCCTGGATTCAGAGTTCCATGGCTGCTGGGGGGAAGAGGGTCAGCAGAGCCCTTAGCTACATCACAGGAGAGATGAAGGAATGTGGAGAAGGTCTTAAAGGTACAGTGCTATTAAAGCACCCCTAAAAAGTTTGTCTTGATCATGGAAACACTTTACCAAGGAATTCTCTGGACCATCTGGGTTCTGTTCTTAGGGTCATCCAAGGAAGCTGAGAAATCTACCATTATAACAATCTCTTGGGATATAAATATCAGTACGTGTGTGTGTGTTTGTGTGTGTGTGTGTGTGTGTGTGAGAGAGAGAGAGAGAGAGAGAGAGAGAGGGACAGAGACAGAGACAGAGACAGAGAGACAGCCAGACAGACAGACAGACACAGAGAGACAGACAGAGACAGAGAGACAAAGAGAGACAGGCAGACAGACAGACAGACAGAGAGCTCTTGTTTTGAAATAGAGAAATTCTACTTTCCCAAATAGCTCACTCAAATGAGCAAAATTAATGCTGTGTTTCCACAGCCAGCGTTCTAGGAGAAATGTTCACTAGATGGCTCACTGAAGAACCATCTATTAGGCCAGTGGGTCCTCTAACAACCCCTGGACCTCCGCTCACAGGTTTAATGATCTTTATGCAGTAAGAAGGTTTTTCTGGAAAGTTTATGGCACCCTCCTAGGAGGCACAGGTAGTACAGGGCACCTACCCTAAGTGCAGGAGGTGACATCAGACTGGCAACAAGTTTTCTAGGCCAACACTGTCTCTCTAGGGCTTTTTATTTACCCTTTTCTTTTTTTTCTTTTTTTTTTAATTTAATTTAATTTTATTTGTGAACATACTGTACAGAGGGGTTACAATTACATGGGCAGGATAATGCGTACATTTCTTACCAAGCATTGCAGCCTCCTCCTTTGGTTTACCCTTCACATCCCTTCCCAGCCTCCCCCCTCCCCCCCAATCCCAATCCTTCTCCTTCCCCCCTTCCCCCCCCCCCCCCGCACTGACGTTGTAAAGCTTGTTTTGGACATGACATGACAACTTGTACTTCTCATTGTTGCAACAGGTCCACCTGTATCCTTAAACAACTGGTTTTTCCCCATCTCCTCCACAAGTTATACTGACATCAAATATAGTGAAAGCAGGGGTTATACTGTGGGGGAGGGACATACAAAGCAACAAAGAGATAATCTTATAAATGCGTTAGAAACACATGCATGAAAGAAAAAAACATTAAAATACATATCTAAGGGTTCATTTTCCTGACATCACATTATCTGACCTTTTCCGCTTGACTCATACATATACTAGATATTGCAAATAAGGGAAACCATGGGACCTATGTTTCTTTGGGCCTGGCTTACTTCACTTAATATAATTTTTTCCAAGTTTTTCCATTTCCTAAAAAATGGGGCAATGTCATTCTTTCTGATGGAGGCATAGAATTCCATTGTGTATATATACCACATTTTCTTGATCCATTCATCTACTGAGGGGCATCTGGGTTGGTTCCATATCTTAGCTATGGTAAATAATGCTGCAATAAACATTGTTGTGCTGGTAGCTTTAGTGTGGTCTTGTTTGTAAACGTTTGGGTAAATGCCCAAAAGTGGGATTGCTGGGTCATAGGGGAGGAACCTCCATACTGCTTTCCAAAGTGGTTGAACAAGTTTACATTCCCACCAACAATGAAGTAAGGTTCCTTTCTGTCCACATCCCCTCCAGCATCTGTTGTTAGAGTTCTTGATTTTTGCCGTTCTAACTGGGGTGAGATGATATCTCAATGTTGTTTTGATTTGCATTTCTTTTATGGCTAGGGATGTTAAACATTTCTTCATGTGTCTATTGGCCATCCTTCTTTCTTCTTCAGAGAAGTTTCTCTTTAAGTCTTTCGCCCACTTATTTATTGGGCAGTTGTTTCTTTGAGGATTTGTTGTTGGGGGGTTTAATTTTTTGAGTTCCAAGTATATTTTAGATATGGGACCCTTGTCCATTGTATGGCTAGTAAAGATCTTCTCCCAATCCGTGGGCTTTCTATTGATCTTGCTAGCTATGTCATTTGCCCTGCAGAAGCTCTGCAACTTTATGCAATCCTATTTGTCCAACCTTTCTTTGATTTGTTGTGTTTCCGGGTCTCTATTCAAAAAATTTCGGCCTGAGCCAAGGAGACCTAGGGTTTCTCCTATTCCATCCTGTAATGTTTTCAGAGTGTCTGCTTTGACTTCAAGGTCTTTGATCCATTTGGAGTTGATTCTGGTGCAGGGTAATATATAAGGATCTAGCTTTAGTTTTCTACATGTAGTTAACCAATTTTGCCAGCACCATTTACTGAAGAGGCTGTCTTTCTTCCATTCTATTGTTTTAGCTCCCTTATCGAAGATTAGATGGCTATAGGTCTGTAGGTTCATTTCTGGGTTTTCAATTCTATTCCATTGGTCCTGAGGTCTGTTCTTATGCCAATACCAAGCTGTTTTGATTACTATGGCTTTATAGTAGAGTTTGAAATTTGGTATTGATATTCCTCCAGCAGTGTTCTTTCCGTTGAGGAGCGTTTTTGGTATTCGGGGTCTTTTATTGTTCCATATGAATTTTTGGATTGCCTCTTCTATTTTATTTACCCTTTTCTATGGCAGGTGACAGCCCGCAGCTGGCTCCCTGAAAACTGACTTGTTTTGTAGGGAGATTCTTACACACACACACACACACACACACACACACACAGCCTACCCCCCAGGCCTGGCCCATGCTTACACCAAGCACTTACTGACTTCCTCCATTTCAGACAAATCCCCAGTGTTCCAGTTTCTCGACTGGGTGCTCCGAGGCACATCTCAGGTGATGTTTGTGAACAACCCCCTCAGCGGCATCCTCATCATCCTTGGCCTCTTCGTCCAGAACCCCTGGTGGGCCATCTCCGGCTGCCTGGGCACCATTGTATCCACCTTGACCGCCCTGGTCCTGAGCCAGGACAAGTAAGGCCCTGGAGACCCATTCCTCAAAGGACCATTCTCCTCCCTCTCACCTTCCCCTCAAAACAGGGCACTAGCTAGGCACTGGGGGCCTCAAACATGTGATCCTAGCTCCTCAGGATCAAGGTTTGAAGCCAGCCAAGTAGACAAATCCAAGAAACCATCTCCAACTGAGCAGCAAAAAGTCAGAAATGGAGGTGTGGCTCGAGTGATAGAGCATCAGTCTTGATTGAAAAAGCCAAGCAAGAATGTCAAGCCCTGAGTTCAAGCCCCAGTACCAGGAAGAAAAGGAAAAAGGCCCTAGTAACCAAAAGTAACTGCCCCCTGAATCTTTTTCATACACCCCTATTATGTAGGAAATGTAAAGGTCATTGGGGCTGATCTCCTCCTTCCCCACTCCCAGAAGGGTGACCTGTTTGAGAAAACCCTGACTGGAAATAAAGAAAACTTTAAATCCACGAGGGCCATTCCCACTCTTACCAGCCCCATCCTCATTTCCCCAGGTCGGCGATAGCAGCGGGGCTCCATGGCTACAACGGGGTGCTGGTGGGGCTGCTGATGGCCGTGTTCTCAGACAAGGGTGACTATTACTGGTGGCTTCTGCTCCCCATCATTGTTATGTCTATGTCTTGGTAAGTTTGTCTCTGAGGTTGTGGGTTCCGGGCAAAGGGCCAACCCCATTTTTATCCTCATCCCATCGAAAGAACTATTTGTTTTGCCTGTATATCAGAAACTCCGACTTGCAATAAAAACCAACATTACACAGAGACAACACAAAGCTGGGTCACGTATAAATGACATCTCCTTAGTTACCCTTCCTTCTCTGGTTAAGATTGTAACCGGATTCTGATCACACCCCACCAGAGCACAGAAGACCACTAAGGTTAAGAGCTGCAATAGGGTCCTTTCAGTTTCTAGAAATCTTATCACCTCTGCTCTCCAAGCTTTTCTCTTAGCCTAGGCCTCCTGATCAGACCATCAGACCTGATCAGATCATCTTCCAGGGCAGACCAAGGACCAGCCACAGGCAGAGCCCTCAGAACACAAGATTCCTCCCTTGCTTCCAGAAATTGCAAGGCTTTCTGACCACTCTTGACCATTCAAAAAAACCATAGTGTAGTGATTACCTCCCCTCAGTTCCCCAAAACTTTTCTCACTCCTCCTGCCTGAGGCTAGAACTTGGTCTCTTCCAGGAAGTTTTGAGACTGCCAGGAAACTCTGGAATTGAGTGTGGGCCTCCCGCCCTGTCTCTTCAGAGTGGAGTTCCCGAGAAAGGCCTGATCAGAGCAGAACAGGCCTGGGGGAGATGGCCAGCAAACTGCTTTATTCCAAGAAAACGAGACCTCAGTATGCTACTGCGCCATCTTGTGTTAGGGCCAGGTATCTACCTGACTGCTTTTGCTTCTTCCCCTAGCCCCATTCTCTCCAGTGCCCTGAGCACCATCTTCAGCAAGTGGGACCTTCCAGTCTTCACACTGCCCTTCAATATCTCCGTGACCCTGTACCTGGCAGCCACCGGCCACTACAACCTCTTCTTCCCCACGACGCTGCTGCAGCCTGCATCTGCTGTGCCTAATCTCACCTGGTCAGAGATCCAAGTGCCCTTGGTAGGTATTATGGAAGGAGGAAGGGCAGTGTTTATGAAATACTCGATGCCATTTACTTACTTGACCCATCTGAAACAGCCACAGGTGACAACAACTACACAGCACTAAGCACTTGACATACTTATCCCGTTCGTGTCCCTTTATAAGAGCTGAAGTGCTATCTCTGCCCATTGTGTCACCACTGAGAACAAAACAGGGGTCAGGATAAGAAACTTACCCCAGGTGGCTCCCACCCGTAATCCTAGCTACCCAGGAGACTGAGATCCGAGGACCACAGTTCAAACTCAGCCAAGGCAGGAAAAGTACATGACACTCATTCAAAAAGCCAGAACCAGAACTGCGCCTCAAGTGGCAACATGCCAGCCTTGAGTGTAAAAGCTAAGAGACAGGGCCCAGGGCCTGAGTTCAAGTACTAGTACAAGCCCAAAGAGAGAGGGGGAGGGAGGAAGAAAGAGGGAGAGGGAGAGGTTCCATAGAGAGTTCCGGAGAAAATCACAGGAGAACAAAGCCAAGACTAGAACAACAGTATCTGGATTTCAGGCTTACCTTCTTTGCTGTTTTTTGTTTGTTTAAGAGTCTCTCGCATATGCTTTGGTCCAGTTTTAATGCAACTTACCCTGTTACTTTCATTCGGTTGCATTGAATCATTAAAGGTATCCACACCTTGCTATTATGTATTGGCTTAAGAAGTCCCTGTTTTTAAGAACTCTCCAGAGTTTTCTTCCATTTGCTTTTGAGGCATACTTCTATATTAAAGCTCAGATTATCCTCCATTTAGAAACACATACAGCAGAGTTCAAGTTAAGATGACAAAATTTTGCTCCATTTACAGCTAAGCTATTTGAACAGAAATGTCTCGGAAACCTGTTGCACGATGTTAGTGTTATTTTTGAGAGGCTACAGTAGGGGGATCATGGGTTCAGGGCCAGCCTGGGATACACAGCAAGACCTTGTAAAAAAAAGAAAAGACAAGACAAGAAAAACAAGGGGCTGGAAGTGTGGCTTAGTGGCAGAGTGCTTGCCTCGCATACATGAAGCCCTGGGTTCGATTCCTCAGTACCACAAACACAGAAAAAGCCAGAAGTGACACTGTGATTCAAGTGGTAGAGTGCTAGCCTTGAGAAAAAACAAGCTCAGGGACAATGCCCAGGCCCTGAGTTCAAGCCCCAGGACTGGCAAAAAGAAAAAAAGAAAAACAAAACAGCATGCTGAACCTTTTATAGAAGAGGTCTAAATTGTCTCTTTAAGCTCCATAGCAAACAAGTGGCCCTGCTCTTCCTACAGCTTTTGAGAGCCATCCCTGTCGGAATCGGCCAGGTATACGGCTGTGATAACCCCTGGACTGGAGGCATCTTCCTCATAGCTCTGCTTGTATCTTCGCCGCTCATTTGCTTGCATGCAGCCATTGGATCCACCATGGGGATGTTAGCAGGTCTGTGTCTCCACTCCCCCAAGTTAATGGGCTCTAGGGGCAGTTGTGCCTGCTAGCAGCTCCAAGGAAAGTGGTGACATGTGTCTTTAACACTGGATCAAATTCCTGGAAACTTTCCCCTTCTATTATATTCTACTTATAGTGCTAATGCCTTCATGCTCCTCCGTGCAACACCTTAGTGTAACTTTAAAGTCAGGAAGAGTTTGCTTTCCAGATATAGTTTTAAGTCTTATCTCCAATGACAAAAGGAAGGAAAGGTGTGTGTGTGTGTGTGTGTGTGTGTGTGTGTGTGTGTGTGTGTCTAAGGAAGGACAATCAGACTTCAGGGTCTTTACTCAAAGTGTTTCTTCAGCTCATTACAGCTAGCCACTAATAGTCACGTGGCTCCATATATTTACGTATTTCTTTTCTTTCAATAAAATCAGAAGCTCTATTTTTAAAATAAATAGCTGATTCTGCACTTTGAGGCTGTGGAGGCTTGGGACGGGCGGGTGAGCTCTGAAAGACCCAAAGTCAACACAGACGCCTTTCTTCACAGCTCTCAGCATTGCCACGCCCTTTGACTCCATCTACTTTGGCCTTTGTGGCTTCAACAGCACGCTCGCCTGCATCGCCATCGGAGGCATGTTCTACGTCATCACCTGGCAGACACACATCTTGGCCATTGCCTGCTGTAGGTACCATTGACAGAATTCCCTTCCATCTCAGACAATACTAGATCTATCTCCAAAACAACCGCAAGAATGAAAGAAAGAGAGAGGGAAGGAGGGAGGAAGGGAGGAAGTGGGAGGGAACAGGGAGGGAGAGAGGGAGGGAAGGAAAGGTAAAGAGAAGGAGGGAGGAAAAGAGAGAAAGAAAGGAAGGAAGGAAGGAAGGAAGGAAGGAAGGAAGGAAGGAAGGAAGGAAGGAAGGAAGGAAGGAAGGAAGGAAGGGAAAAAAGAAAAAAGAAAGAGTGAGTAATAACCACTTAGAAAACCACTTCTGGCTAGAATTGGGCGGTTTATATCATACAAAACAATAAAGCTGAAATCTCCACGTATTGACCATCAACCCCTTCAAGTGATCCCTCCTGGTTGCATATTTGTTCAGAGTCCAGCAAATCAGATTGACTGGAACAATTTGGTTTGTTTTCATATGCTTATAAACTTTCATCATATTCTTGAAATTATCCAAATCAAAACCAAATAAAATTCATTTGGACTAAGACACTTAAAACAGAAATGCCATTTCCATATATCTATAGATAATGAGATTTATATATAAACTTTAACAAAAAAATAAGTGTACATTATAAAACTTCTAAGCTATCCTTTGCTAGATATGTTCTGGATCAGAAATGTGTGTTTCCTTCATACACTTTGAAGATGTTTCCATTTCCATTCTATGACAGTCAATACAAAGATGTAGAAAACAAATTCTAAACTAGATATGAAGGGTAAAGTTGCTGTCTTTTCCTTTCTTCCCTTCTAAAATTGTTTTCTGCCACCCCAAAATTTCAATCGAAGTCTAGCATAGCATAGTTACTTAAGAAATAAGAGCTGTCAGATTGACCAAATGAAAGGTAAGGTAGCCCACCTAGCACCTACTGCTAAGGAGGCACTTTTAAATACCTCATCTCCACCCCAACACCAACTCTCCATGATTGGTATTATTATTTTACCTGGCAAAAGAGGGGGGAAATGTATCAATGATCAGAGTCAGGACTCGACTAAGAGGAGGGAGGCAGCTCATATGCAACATTAAAGGTACTCAGTGTCAGGACCATGTAAGCAATGAGTGAGGTTCCCTTCCTCCTAGGACAGCAAAGAAGATGCTCCTGGCATCTAGTAAGGAGAGGCCAGGATGCTGCTACACATCCTCCAACTCAAGGGGCAGCTGCCCAGCAAGAAACATTGATGGTGCCACAGCTGCGAAACCTGACGGGTGGCATCTCATTGTAATGCTCACTGTAAAGTACTCAGATGCTATTGCTGTCCCATTTCACAGATGAGGGACTGAAGCAATGGGAGTCAAATCAATGATCCAGAGTCAGGCAGGTCTGTTACACCATTCTCCTTCCTAAAGCCAGTGCTCCCTCTAGAGGTGGAAGAAAAAAAAGATCCAGGGTACCTGGGCCTTTGTTATAGTCCCGCAGCCAGTGCTGCTCTGCACATAAGGCAGCATGCCATTTTTCCTTCTTTCCTGTCTCTCTCCCGACTCTGCAAGCCCTGCATACATGAATGTGTGGGAGGTTTTCAGAGGTTTCCTGTTGGTCACAGGTAGAATGTGATCAAGACCGGGAGGGTGAGGAGGGCATGTGAAGGAGGCCTTCAACTCCTGCCCAGCAACCATGGGAGAGTTGAATGGAATCGAGCTCGGCATAGGCCACTCTCTGAGCCTCCACTCTTCGCAGGCTTAGCTCTGGTCTTCACAATGCTTGGGTTGACCCCTTTCCTCTTCCTGCCTCTTCCTAACCTCGGGCTGCAGCACCCTGTGAAGAAGAACACACTTGCAGCCAGATGGCCACAGCTCTGTCAGCCGCAGAACGCTGGGCAAGCTACGTCCACACTCAGTGCCTCACATGGCCAGTGCTCGCTTCCTAGAGCTGGTGTCAGCATCAAATCAGATTATCCATGGGTACCACCTCTAACGTCTAACGAATGGCAGGAAGCGTCAGCCCTGAGATCTGTATTCAAAGAAATGAATGAGGACGCAGCCATGCCCAGGGCAGCATGGCCTCTTATTTCCTTCCACAAAAGGAAGCTGGCTGGTGGGACCCAGGAAACTTGCCTGCCCTATACCCTACTTTATCTAATCCATTCCTGTATTTCCTCTCCTCTTCCACCTTGAATCCTCACCTTAAAAACAATGGGATGGGGGCTGGGAAGGTGCCTCAGTGGTAGAGTACATGCATGAAGCCCTGGGTTCGATTCCTCAGCACCACATAAGCAGAAAAAGCCAGAAGTGGTGCTGTGGCTCCAGTGGTAGAGCGCTAGCCTTGAGCTGAAGAGCTGAAGGACAGCACCCAGGCCCAGAGTTCAGCCCCCACGTCCAACAAAAAAAAAAAATAGGATCTTTCTACCTCACAAATAAGACAGACCAGTGGTGTTATTTAACCTCTTGAAGCCTCAATTTTCTTGCAAAATAAAGACTATGCCAGTGCTTGCATTTTAGGAATGCTGAAGGCTACAGAGAGTGTGGCTATGTGCTGGGTGTGTAGTCATTCTCTAATAAAGGTTAGCGTTGTTAGTATCCCAAAGACAGCTGGGATGTGCTCTCTTGAGAAATTAAGGCTCCAGATGCAAAGCCCAATTACACTGGCCCATTTTCATCGCTTCTGACTTCTCTTCCCAGCAGGCTCTTCTCAGCAGCCCGCGTGGTCATGCCCTCTCTTGCACAGCCTGAGAGACAGGGCAGTAGGCCTATTTGGTTTTCCTCGAGTTTACAGGATGTTGCTAGTCCCTTGAAACCCATATTATGTTAATACCTTGTGATGAAATATTCCAGCAGGGACTTCTGGGATTCACTTGCCTTCACTGTATAGTAAAATTTTCATTTATGGTTTATGCTGTTAAATGTTCCTTTACTGGAATGCAAGGTGGTGAGACCCAAGGGAACTGTAACAGCTAAATTCTGGCCCTTTTTTAACAAAGTTCATCTGCTGTCTTAGCAATGCAAGCATTTGCATGGAATTTAACACTTTTAAAGCTGCCAAGCACAAACACGATTTGGTTGGTATTCGTTGAATCTGAGAGATGGCATTTGTAGCATAAAATGAATGAAGAGAGACCATGGGGATTAAGCTTGGGATGATGGTAAAGCATCACTGATTGTTTATGGTTGGTTCTTCTTCCAGCACTGTTTGCAGCCTACCTGGGTGCCGCTCTGGCCAACATGTTGTCTGTGGTAAGTCTCTGGGGGCTACAAACATGCCCACGTGCTCCCTCGATCTCCCAACCCCTGAGCATCACAACCCTTCCTCCCGGAACCCTTCCCAACTTCCATCTATTCTTGTATCAAGTCCCACTGCTCACCTTAACACCTTAGGCCACAGGAACTCAAATGTCAATGGCAGGTCAATCAAATGCCATTGTCAGTGGCAGTGGAGCTCTTTATGGAGCAATCTGAAGAGCACCATCTTGAAAATCTAACCCCTTTCTATTTTACCATCCTCCAGAACTATTTTCCTTCTTCACTCCTGGCTTGTAAGCCAGGGCACATTTGTCCCATAGGAACTATCATCTTTGCACCAAGAGACTGGTGTCATCAGCAAGAGCTTTAGGAAACCATGCAAGAACAAACCCTAACCAATCAGAGAGAAGTGTGGGCTGGTGGCTTATGGGCACACACAGCAGTCTCAACAACCTATTCTTTGTCTGGGCCTAGTCTGGGTGTTCTGTGAGGTCAGGAACAGCCACCTGGCCAGCGTAGGCCTGGTATACAGTGCTCAAAGCTCAGCTCACAGCCAGTGTCTCCCTGTTTTAGACAGAGATATAAGAGAAGGTTCACATGGAAGGGGAAGGTTCATCAGTCCTACAGATGGGAAAGGCATAGACACTTCACTCACATCTGTTTAAATCTCCGAGGAAAACAGATGATTTGGACTTAGCCTCAGAACGTATTTTTAAGCACATTTAGCCTTTTCTTATACTATCCTACAAACAAAATGAAGTTCACTTCCTGTGTGCCCTCTCTGTTGATGATGTTTCGCTGACCACCGTCAGGAAAGTTCAGGCTCTTGACAGATCCAGGAGTTCCTCATTGAGGAACAGGATCTAAAGATGTTGAACTACATTTATGAAACTGTTCGAGCCCTCCTCAGAAGAGCACTTGTGAGCCATATTCTTTTGCTCTCTAACTGGTGCGCATATGTGCAGCCGTGGGTCTTCAACAATGCAGCCATCTGCTTGATGGCAATCATGTCCTGAGGACCATTTATTGAATACTTAGTGTACACAAAGCACTAGCTCTCTGAGTCAGTATTGTTACTCCCGGCTGCTGAGGAAATAGGCCTCAGAAGGCTGCAATGATGATAACAAGGGGATACAATCTGAGATTTGGATCTGGGTCTGTGGAGTCCTCACATCCTTTCTACTGTAGGACTCCACCGAGCACCTTGTGCTTTCTCAGTGGGGCTTCGGTGGCAAGACTCCCTGAGTGGAAATCAGGGCTCACAGGAATTCCTTATGGCCTTGTGCTGGCACTGTTCTTGTTCTCCAAATCCCTCCCAGCATCTTTGGGCTTTCACCTGGCCAATGTCATTTACTCCCTTGCTGCTACCCGAGGCTCCTACTACTGCTATCATAAAACATTTGGGGGAGATGGGATGTGATTTGGTCTACCTCATAGTTACATTCATAGGCTGTCTGCAAACTGTCCACTGGAGCCATCTCAAATGAAGAGTATGCTCAAAGGAGGAGGATATAAATGTCCTTGATCATCTCAAGGAATAAAAAGCAAGTCAGGATGAGAAAGAGACATGGGACCTGAGAGCACTTCAGAAGAGAGGCAGCTGCTCTTCATCTCCATTTCTCAGGAACAAGGCCATGAGTCTCTGTAAAGGGTTTCTGCTGCTGTCAGCTTGTAAATGATACCATCTCTGTGTGGTTTTCCAGGACTTTCAGTTCAAGAGCTCTATAGATAAAGTGTTGGTGCCTATGAGTTCTCATTCTCAAAAGAGGGATTCTATTGGCCCAAATTGTGGGCCTATGGGATGCTGTGTTTGAGTCAAGTGTCTACGCCTGAGTCAAGTGTGTATGTCTACTCCAATCTATGACATGAGAAAAACGTCTTGAGATACGAAGAGTCCAAAGACACTCCTTCAACAGGGCTTCCGAAAGCAGGCACAGAACTATCACAGCTCCTACAACCAGATGAATAGCCTGACCAGATTCCCCCTCCCCCCAAAAACACCATGTCTTCTACGTGAAGGCATATTAAGCCCTATTACCATTCCAATAGCTATACTTTGAAGAGTATGTCTTTACCTGTTCCAATGCAAACTGTCACCAGTGACATACATGATTTTATTTATATTGGCAGCCAGTCCAACATTCCCCTTAGCAATGCCCACAAAGCATCTCTCTTCTTTCCAGGGTTGAGGGGATTTATAATGGCTAATTAAACAAGCTCTAGGGTTTTTTGTTTCTTTGTTTAGTTTGGGTGTGTGTGTGTGTGTGTGTGTGTGTCTGTCTGTCTGTCTGTCTGTCTGTCTGTCTGTTTAGTTTGGTGGTGGTGGTGGTGGTGGTGGTGCGTGTGGGTGTGTATGTGTGTGTGTGTCTGTCCGTCTGTCTGTGTGTTCACGTGACTGAAGCACTTCTCCTGTCCCTCTCCTTCCAGTTTGGATTACCACCATGCACATGGCCCTTCTGCCTCTCAGCGCTCACCTTCCTGCTCCTGACCACCAACAACCCCGCCATCTACAAGCTCCCCCTCAGCAAAGTCACCTACCCAGAGGCCAACCGCATCTACTTCCTATCCCAAGAGAGGAACAGAAGGGCATCGACCATAACAAAGTACCAGGCCTATGATGTCTCTTAAGTTGCCAGTTCCAAAACACATCACTGTAAATGTAGTTGTGATCAGGTAGCTGAAGACCTCTTTAACTTCCCCTTGAAGGTCCACCCCGGAAGACCTCTTTAACTCCCCCATCAAGCACAGGAAAAGTGTGGGCTGTCTCCCTCCAGGAGCCTCTCTAAGACACACAACACTTGCCAAAGCTCTGTTTGGTTCAACTTCGTACCCACAACTAGCTCTATGAAAACACCTTTAATGGGGACTTTCTAGTCACACCACTCACGCATGTAATATAGCACAGTGCCAGAAAATGGTCTAGTCTAGAATGCAAGAGAGTTGGACACACACACACACACACACACACACATACACACACACACACACACACACACACACACACACACACACACACACACACACACACACCAGCTCGGCCACTAATCAGTTCCATCTGTCTCAGGCAAGTCCTTCCTGAGCCATTTTAGCCTTGATTTCTTATTGGCAGGGATTTCTTTATGACAGGAAGGGTCTCTAAAACCTCTTCTGCTTCTGAAGCACAGATTCTTCTCTGTCTCCTGTAAATTGATCAAATCAGCATGACCAGCAAGCAGCAAGTAATTGCTGAGTTGAGAAACAGATGGAAGGGTTACCCAGAGGAGAGGCAGAAAGTGTTGATGTTTGGGGGTGCGGGGGGACTGGGAGAGAAGGGGGGGTCTTCTTGGGTCATGGAAAAGTATCTCCAGACTGGGGATTAGAAACTGAGCGTGTCAATGTGCCTTCCTTTACGTAACAGAAATGTTCCTGGGAATATTCTACAATAATATCTGATCATTTCCAGCATCGAAATCATACTGTGAAGCAATTATTTCTCTTTTTGTAATTCTCATAGCCACACTCTCATTAAACTGTTTAAATTTCAAGTTGGTGTCAGGCTTTTCTTTAAATGGGGCTCGTCTATGTGCACACATTCTTCCCATTTGTGGGAAACCCCTTCGTGTGTCTGAAAGGAGACAAGGGTGGGCTAAGAATAATCAGAAGAGAGCCAGGTGTGATAGCTTATATCTGGAATCCTAGCTTCTTAGGAGGCTGAAATTGGGAGGGTTCTGGTTTGCAAACAAACCCAGACAACAAGTTTATGAGAACAGAAAAAGCTAGGCACAGTGATTCGTGCATATCATCCGAACTAGCGTGGGAAGCATAAACGGAAGGATCATAATCCAGGTTACCCTGGGCAAAAAGTGAGAACTTACATCAAACATAACTGAAGCGGGGCTGGGAAGGTGGCATGCCTTGTATGCATGAGGCCCTGGGTTCGATTCCTCAGCACCACACAAGCAGAAAAAGGCAGAAGTTGGTGCTGTGGCTCAAGTGGTAGAGCGCTAGTCTTGAGCTGAAGAGCTGAGGGACAGCGCCCAGGCCCAAAATTCAGGCTCCATGACCTACCCAAAAAATAATAAAATAATAACCAAAGCAAAAGAGGTTTGGAGGTATGGCTCAAGTGGTAGAGTGCCCGCCTAGCAAGTCGGGGGCTCTGAGTTCAAACATGAGTAGCTCAAAAATAATGACCAGAATAGGGCTTGAGAAGAAGAGGAGGTGCACAGCAATGACTGTGGACATTGCTGTCCTAATTCACAGGCCTTCTCTATGGAAAGACCCATGGTCCAGCTCTCCCACCCTTCTCCATAGGCACACTAGCCTTTCCTAGCCACACTGAGATGCCAACACATACTTCCAGTTCAGCATGATCAGTGATGGCATAAGAAGAGGGAGAAGGCCGGCGCCGGTGGCTCACGCCTGTAATCCTAGCTACTCAGGAGGCTGAGATCTGAGGATCACAGTTCAAAGCCAGCCCAGGCAGGAAAGACCTTGAGACTCTTATCTCCAATAAACCACTCAGAAAACCGGAAGCGATACTGTGGCTCAAGTGGTAGAGCACTAGCCTTAAGCTGAAGAGATGAGGGAGAGCGCCCAGGCCCAGAGTTGAAGCCCCACAACCGACAAAAAAAAATGGGGGGGGGGAGGAAAGGGGAGGGAGGGAGGAAAGGGGAGGGAGACAGGCCCTTTACAAACACAGCTTTAAGGAAGAATTACATTTTAATCAAAATCCATCCTTAAAAAAAAAAAGAAAACTACTTTTAGCCAGGTACCTGTGGCTCATGCCTATAATCCTAACTATTCAGGAGGCTGAGATCTGAGGACCTTGGTTTGAAGCCAGCCCAGGCAATAAAGTCCATAAGACTCTTAATTCCAGTTAACCACAAAAAAGCTGGAAATGGAGTTGTAGTTCAAGTGGTCGAATGCCAGCCTCAAGCAAAAGAAGTAAGGGACAGTGTGCAGGCCCTGTGTTCAAGCCTCAGCATTTGTTTTAATAAGTGGGGGCTTGAACTCAGGGCCTGGTGCTATCCATGAGGTTTTGTTGTTGCTGTTCAAGGCTAGCATTCTACCACCTTGAGCCATAGCACCACATCCAGTGTTCCGGTGGTTAATTGGAGATAAGAATCTCATGGACTCTTCTGCCCGGGCTGGCTTCAAACAGTAATCCTCAGATCTCAGCCTCCTGAGTAGTTAGGATTACAGGCGTGAGCCACTAGTGCCCAGCTTCAATGTATTGTTTTAAGCTGGTTTCCATGTTTATCTTTTCTCTCTCTCTCTGGTCTGAGATTCCAGCCATCTCTCACCAGCCCAGGAAGGAGCACTGGGCCGTATGTCTCTCTCTTGCAGCCCCTTTTGACCTCTTCAGGAACATGGAGTTCTTCTTCATGCAAGCGAATTCTCCATGTAGGAAACCGGATGACTCATACCCCATAGCTACCTCTGAGTCTGTGATCACACCTTGAGGCCAAGAAGGTCTCAGCCTATAGTTTAATGACCATAGAATTGTAGCTCTCTGAGGATCAAGCATCCAGAAATTTCACCAGAAGGCTATTTATGCTCACGGCTCACTCAGCTGCCCCAGAACCTCCAAGTGATGACATCAAACTATTAAAAGTACTGGTTCTCATGCATTTCCACCAAAGCCTTATAATCTAGTTTTATTAAAAGCAGAAACCCCACCATATGCATACTATTCTGATTATTGACCACTAATAAAACCCTTCAGCTGGTCTAAGTACTTCAATATCCTTGCCTATAAAGCAAACTGTGTTGGCCCAGGATTCCAGGCAAGGTGGAAATAGACGGGGTGAGAGAATGCAACTCATGAAAATATGTCACGTCTACAGGACAGCAGAGTAATGGATCCAGTCCCTCCCTTCAATTGGGCATCAACAGTAGAGAACGGGAACCAACCCCACCACCAACTCCCGAAAAGTATTGTCTCAGCACCATTCAGCAACATCACACTGAGAGCATAAAATCAGCCGTGGTGGGAGTATTTATACCACAGAGACTGGCAGAGTCTCTGGGCGTATACATAAAATAACAACACCCATTTTGCAAATAGGCATACATACAAAAAAGTACACTGGAATGTGGGAGAGCAAACCAAATGTGACATAAAAATAAAATGCATGCCATCATGGATATTCTCAAGAGAGAGGCCTCGCCGGAGACAATGGACCCGCCAAAGCCCAAGTCACATGATTAACGCAATCCTGTCAGGAAGTAAGTAAATAAATAAATAATACAAGGGACAAACATACAGTTGCAATGCCACAGAACTAGCTCATGTGTGACAGAGTAGCCCTGAGAACGATTTGGTCGAGTAACCGGCTGCAGCAAATTCCTGCCCCATGCTCTCTTAACCCTTACAGAATCCAATCACTTCTCATGGCTGGTGTTCAGGGAAAAAACTCTTAATTTTAATGGGCGTAGGGGGTCAGTCATGGGACCTGAACTCTGGGCCTGGGCACTGTCCCTCAGCTCTTCAGCTCAAGGCTGGCACTCTACCACTTGAGCCACAGTACCACTTCTGAGGAATCGAACCCAGGGCCTCATGCATGCAAGGCAAGCACTCTACCACTGAGCCACCTTCCCAGCCCCGGAAAGAACTCTTAGACATGGTTTTTACCATCTAACCCTCACATTCGTATCAGGGGCATTCACTTCAAGCCCCTGCATGCAATCTTCTGCAGCCAGCTCTTTCTCCAGAGCTTCTGTAGCTTGAATCCCTCAAGTCATGAAACAGTCTCAGGTGAGGCAGGTAGATGGCAAATCAGCGGCTGTTAGACCATAATGTGTACCACCTTCACCACTGGAGTTTATTTAACAGACAGGGCCCTCATGCACAGAGTTAGAGGCAGCAGATCTGGGACAGAGCCTGGCAATCTGCATTTCTAAGCTCTTCTCGGGCCGTGCTACCACTGTGAGTCTGAGAGCCCTCTTCCAGAGTCATGAGTGTAAACTCTGAACTAAGATCGTTGCCCTAAATACCTCTTTGCCCTTCATTGCATGGTGTAGGAAACAGCTTGCAAACACTCATTCAAACAGGAATCACCTGTGTTCCTCAGAGCTGAAGATTTAGACTCAGTAGATCCAGATGGAGCCTTCCAAAAACTCGTATTACACAAATGCGGTTGGGTCGAGGTCTTGCATTTGAGATCACTACATAGTCTCCTACTCCTTGACAGAAGAGAATCATTCTACCCTGGACAAATCAGCAGTGGGATTGGGCCATGTGTGTTTTTAAAGCTCCTGCAGTATTCTAATGAGCAGAAAACACGTTGGGAACTGTTTCCTAGGTCCCAGTGCCTCCAATCAGAGTCACTCCTGGAGGCTCTCAACCCCCTATCTGGGTCCCCAGGTGGGTTGTGTGTAAGGTGCAGACAGTCCACAGAGAAGCGCGGAGCACTGGAGGCAGAAGGCAGATGTACAACACAGAGAACCCTCAACTATGAAGCCTATCTCTTTCTCAGTGTTGTTGGGGGGGCCCAGACTTGTACCCTGTTAGAAACTAAATAAAGAAAACTGAAGCCACTTACCAGAAACATCCGGTTCAGTAAACCAAGCAGACAAACAAGCTCTTGCATTGGCCCGGAAGTCTGCTAAGCGAACGTAGTGGTCCTGACAAGGAGAAGGAAAGCAACGAGGTTGCCAGCAGCCCCTCCAACCACATGGCACTGGGTCTGGCAGTTCAGGCCTGGTGGAGTCCTGGGGCTGCCAATAAGATACAGCCATGGGCCTGTGAGCAGGTAGGAATGGAGAGCTGCGTGGGGGTGGGGCTCGAAGGGGGGAGGTGTGCAGAGGTGCTGACAGCGGCTGCTGAGGATGGGCATGAGCTGTGATGGCTCTGGAGACCAGCAGGCAGGAAGCTGGCAGCCAGTAGATAAGAGGGAAAGGAGTAGAAGAAAAGCAGAACACAGACACAAGAGAAAGAGCAAAGGCCATGGGCCTGGTGGTACAGGAAAGGAAGAGGGAACACAGATTGGTTGTCATGTACAAGTTAAGAAGACTCTGAACTCTGAAAACTTCCCAGGGGGCGGGGATGGGACAGGGATGAGAGGTGGCTCTTACTCCTCCCTCTACCACTTGCTTGCTTCTTGTGGGGTACGTCTGAGACACGAGGATCTACTATACTGTTGGAGAGAGACCGGCACCTGTAGCTTGGCCTGAGCATATAAGACTTGATCAGGCAGGGAGACAGGCAATTCATGCAGCCACGTATGTAAAAATCACCATGCTCAGGCCTGGCCCACACACTCCATGGAAGATAAGCTGAAGGAAGAAGGTTTTCGAGAAAGTGGGAGGAGCCCCGAGGCAGCATGACTTTGTCATAGAGGTTGTCTCCGCCCCTAGAGTCAGAGGTGATCTGCAATTGGCTGAGTTCTTGAGCTCTACGTCTGGATGTTTATCCTGTACTCCTAGTCTCTCTAAAGACCTGTAGAAGCTGCACATGGTGGCGCACGCCTATAACCCCAGCACTTGGGAGGCTAAGCAAGAGGCTCTTTATCTAGCAAGGCTTAGGCTCAACAAAACAACAAGCAACAACAAAAATGAGATCTATGGAATCCTGTGTCGGTCATCTGGGAGAAGGGGTTGTTTTTAATCTCGCTGAGAGACATGAATACCCACTAAGTTTCTGACAAGCCTGGCATAGAGCAAGACAGCTCAGGACACAAGCTCAAAGTGCAGATCTCGGGCTTGGCTGCTACACCCCCCTCCCTTCCTGGGCCTCCTGTCTATCTTTTTTTTCTTTTTTTCTGGTCTTGGGGCTTGAACTCTGGGCCTGGGCACTGTCCCTGAGCTCTTCAGTTCAAGGCTAGCATTCTACCACTTGAGCCACATCACCACTTCCAGTTTTCTGCGTGGTTTATTGGACATAAGAATCTCATGGACTTTCCTGCCCAGGCTGGCTTTGAACTGCAATCCTTAGATTTCAGCCTCCTGAGTGGCTGGGATTACAGGCATGAGCCACCAACGCCAGGCCCATCTATCCTTAAAAGCTGCTTCCCTCTAGCAGGCCCTCACTCAGCCCCAGGCTTTCCATAGACACAGACTCTAAGCCCTTTGAGGGCATGGATGGAGTTCTACAGGTCCCTGAACCCTGACACACCCACCAGGTTCAGTGAAAGGTCGACTTCTCCTGGGGTATATTTCTAAGGAGCTGGAATTTTGTAATTACACTTTTGTGAGGAAACAGATCAGTTTGAATGTTACTGAAACGTATCAACTTGATTTTTGAATATTAAGCCAACAAGATAGTTGACAGTTGTGTGTTTTGTTGACTCTTTTATCTATAACCAGGTCAGAATAGATACAAGACAGCAACATGTGAGTGCTTGTGAATTTCCTCTAGCATTCCCTTAGCAGTTTATTTTAGGAGCCCCGTCTTTACTTTGCAGCTAAAATAATTATCAATGTATTTTAGTCTTATTTTATTTTATTTTCCTGTGCTGGGGATTGAACCCAGGACATTCTATGTGCCAGTCAAGTGCTTCACCATTGAATTACAACCCCAACTTTTGGGTTTTAGAGACAAGGTCTCCTTCTGCAGCTCAACCTGGCTCAGCTGTATGCCTGCACACAGGTTGAAGTACTCATTGTTAAGCTACATAGTAACGATGTCTTCTTGTGTTGCTTTGTTTTGTGTAAGTGCAGTCTAAGAACTACCTCCATTAGGATCACATGGATTTCTATTGTCCCCTCAGACCAAACCAGACTCTAGGGTGGAACCCAGACTCTTATCCTCGTGCTCTCTGCAAATCAAAGTTTGAGGACAGTGCTCAGTTCATTGCCTGTCAGAGAGACAGATGGAGGTAGAGGCTGACAAACATTTAGAATCAAGAAAGCTTTTCTCACCTGGGTACTGTTGGTTCACGCCTGTAATACTCACTACTCAGGAGGCTGAGACCTGAGGATCGCAGTTTAAAAGTCAGCCAGGCAAGAAAGTCCATGAGACTCTTTTTTTTGTATACATTTTTATTGTAAAAATATTGTAGAAAAGGGTTACCGTTACATGCATACGGTAATGAGTACATTTCCTATTGAGCATTGTTACCTCCTCCTTTGTTTTTCCCATACCATCCCTTCCCTCCCCACCTCCTCTTCCCTCCCCACTTCCCCAATTCCTCCTCCTCCCCCCAAGTTGTAAAGTTTGTTTTCAACATAGTGTCTTGTACATCTCATTGTTAAAATGGGTCAACCTGTATCCTTATGACAGCATTTTGTTATTTCCCTTCCCCTCCCCAAATTAGAAAAACAGATATACAAGATGCAGGGCAAGGGAATCAAATACAGTGAAAACAGGGTTATACCATAGGGGAAGAACATACAAAAGAAACAAAAAAATCACATAGTATATTATAAATACATTAAAAAACAATAGCAAGAAAGAGAAAATCACTTGTGTCCCGAGACTCTTATCTCCAGTTAACCACCAGAAAACCAGAAGTGGAGCTGTAGCTCAAGTGGTAGAGTGCTTGCCCTGAGCTGAAGCTCAAGGATAGAGCCCAGGCCCACAGGTCAAGCTCCACCACAAAAAAAGAAAGAAAGCTTTTCTGTACCAAACTCCTCTCCTCTCCTGTCCCAGTCTGCACACTCCCCTTTATGATGTTGCTTAAAAATCCACAGAGTCTGTAAAGGCTGGATGTGATCCAGGGTTGGGGGGAGGGGGCGAGGGGACATCCTTTGGCTTGTGACACTTTCTAATTGTCACCAGAGGGCGCCAGAGCACTTCCAAAAGTCACACACAAGGCTCCAATTGTTTCATGTTCTTTTTCCAAGCAGACTATCCGCTGAGGGTCCAGTCTCCCGGTCTGTCTCTGCTTCACTGATTCACCCATCTGCAAGAGGAAATTGAAGTACTTGAGAGTGCATAGCTGCTAATAAAAGACCTTATGAGGCCTGAGGTACGTATTTGATGACAAGATCTCATCCTAACAGGCAATTAATACAGACCTGTTACAATTCTATTCAAACTGCAATAAGATCGGAGAGGTAAACCTCCTCGACAAGCTCCTGGCTATTATTCTACCATGAATCAGTGGTTTGCACAGATGGGAAACCAGAAACCCTGAATTATACACATAATTTTTAATATTTTATTATTAACAAAGCTAAGTTCAATTATAGCTGTCTTTCACCCATGTACTCAGAAAGCTTCCCATCTCCTCTGCAGTTTTTGGTCCTGACACTGCTGTTGGGCATGCAATACAGCTCATAGCTCCAGAAGACATAAGTTAGAAAACTGGCACCCTCTCCAACAAGCTGGCCCCACCCCCATACTGCCCATTCCACCCAACCAGCTGTCTTTCTCTAATATACGCTGGTTGTTTTTCCAAAAGCATTATTTAAACTTCATTCTCCTAGTCACTGAGCTATAATCCACATCATATTAATTCAATCTGTGAAGGCAATTATCATAGTACCCTGGTGATGGAATTGGGAATGGTGCTCGTGATGATGCTACAGGTGTGGTAGCATTGACAGGGTTGAAGGTGGTGATGGCAGACCTAGGAACGCTGGAGGTGGTAGAGTCGGGAATGGCAGACATAGAGCTGGTGGCAGTGGTAGAATCAGCGATGGTCAAGATGAGGTAGAATTGAGGATGGAGGAAATGGCTGTGACATTGGCTAGGTGGACTTCATGGTGGTATCTACTTAGCATCCTTCTGAGGTTTTATCTGCATGAAGGATAAAACCCACACTCCTGAGCTTGACACATAAGCTGCTCATGAGCCAGTTATTGCTTGTGTGTTTAGCCTTTCTCCCACCCACATATGCTAACATACATGTACACTTACACTCACGAAGCTTTTCCACGTTAGAACATTCTTTCAGCCTCACACTAAGTGTGTATGTTTTATTCTGCTATTTGCGCCATAAGATCATTACACATGGCTGCCTGCGGGCCCTTGCTTATCTCCTTGCTGGGGGCTTCACATGTACCATCTCATCAGTACCACTGAGTGGGCCATCCCATTTGAAAGTAAAGGAAGTCGAAGAAAAGTGCAACTGGACTTATCCCAGATCTACCTATTTTGATGCTCAGAAGCTTCAGAACCAGCGGTTCAGTCATCTGTCATCTTCCTAAAAGGATCAGCCTAAGCAAATGCACTGGGGAGGGAATCAGGACAGTTAGTCCTAAAGTACTTCATTCCAGGTCCCATTAAAAACTAATAAAAGCCAAGTGCCAGTGACTATTACTGACCAAAGCCAACCCAGGCAGGAGTCTGTAAGACTCTAACTATCTCTAACTAACCACCAAAAAGCCAGAGGAGAGCTGGGGTGTAGCTCAGTGGCAACATGCTTGCCTAGTAGGTACAACATCCTGGGTTCCGTTCCCAGTGCCAAAAAAGAAAAAAAATACAGTTAAAAAAAAGCCAGAGATGGAACTGTAGCTCAAGTGATAGAGAGCTAGCTGTAAGCAAAAAAACAAAAACAAAACAAAAAAACTTAGGGACAGTGCTCAAGCCCAGAGTTCAAGCCTTGGGATGGGAATATTGTGTGTTCTCTCTTCTGCATTTCTGTAAATGCAGAAGAGATGCTTGATGCTTCATGAGGGTGTTTGGTAGCCCTGGTATTTTCCATTACAGGAAATGTCCTGGACGCATTGACGATGTGTTAGTGACCCTTCATTTTGGGTCCCAGTGTTACTCAGATGTTTGGGATTCTGCATTGACCTTCTGATCTGCCCACTACCTCAGGCAAAGCACAGCAGGAGGCCCCAGGAGGCCCTGAGACAACTAGCCTGTGTGTGCACGTTCCTCCTTTATGTAGAGAGGCCTGTGAGCTCCCGGGAGAAGTGTGGAGCAGATGTCACCCACAGCCACCCCTCAGCCGGACCTCTAAGCTTGGCTGAGCTACCTGGGTTCCTAGCCTCCCTCTGGAATCTGCAGGTACAGAACCTGAAGCCATTGCACACCCTAGACGTGGAAGGCTGGGTGCACCTTCACGCCACTGCTCGCTTGTCCTGGGCAGGTCACTTTGCCAACCCTGTTCTTCCTCAGCGATTTGTTTTGGGGAGGAAGGAAGGGAGAGCAGTAGAAATTGAACTTAAAGCCTCCTGTTTTCCAAGCAGGCGCTCTGCCACTTGGGTCATGCCTCTAGCTCCTTTTTGCCTTGGTTATTTGTTGAAGAAGGATCTTACCTTATGCTTAGTGATCCTACCTGTACCTCCTATATTGCTAGGGATGGCAGGCACATACCACCATAACCAGCCATGGTGTAAGCCAGTCTCATGAACATCTTTGTGTCTGGGCTTGAACCCAAATCCCCAAAGCTCTGCTTCCCAAGTCGCTAGGATTATAGGATTGAGACACCTACTGTGCGCA